GTGCAGATGTGTGCAGGCATGCATAAATGTAGGCCGTTATTGTTTATGGGCCAAAACCCAAGTAGGACCCATTCCACGAATACCCTTTGTTGTTCATGATGTGCAAGATCCAGTACTAGAAGAAGGATGTTGGGGCTGAATGCTTGTTATCAATTACTCAATAGTAAATAGTTCTCAAAACATTTTATGGAATGGATAAGGATATAAATAGGTTCTTAATTTCTGTTATTCTGTCAGTTTAACATTAATCTGTCTTAATATTGGATTTTACTGACATTACAGCAATAATTTTTATAGAGTCAAGTCATTTTATACCAGAACAAAGGGATACAATATCTGGAGACAGTAGTCAAAAGTGAAGTCAGAGTTACAAATGGTTGTTGAGAGCTAAGATTGCAGTTGACCCCTGTGGGACTGAACAGAATGCCTGGCTCATTGAGAGACTTATGTATTGCCATGTATTGCATTGTTACCTGTGTTCATAATGTTCATCAGTGTGGTTGGTGCATAATAATAATAGACTTACACTGGCCCAATGTGGTGGAACAAAACGGTTGCTTTCATGTAATTGTAATTGATGCAGGAGAATTTGCACAGTGACATAGCAAACACATTCACAGTCATATGCTTTGAATTTTTGACCCAGACACTGCTGATTCCTGTAATCTAAATCCTTCAACTGACATTTGTATGCTGATTAGAATGATAACATGGAAACTATATGGCATGGCAACTCTCAAGGTCAGCAGTTTGTCAAAGCACTAGAGGAATGCTACAACACAAATAGTCTACTTTCAATACTAATACTTGATCACTGCTTTCTCTCTAAGCCTCAATAATAATAAACTTGTTTTTATGATACTGAGAGAGTAAACAGCACACCTATATATCTTGATTTCTGTCAGGCTATGGGTAAATAGTAGACACTATTATTTATTATGTATTAGTATGTTAATTATGTAATGCTGTGATTATCATTATTGGGGACAAGTGGCTACAATTCTGTCTCGCTTTCATTGCCATGCTCATTTAATATTAACTGTTTTACTCTTCAAGGTCAATCATCTCCCTCTTTATTTTTAAACTTTTCTAGAGCTTCTTGAAAGATTTCTTTTTATTCCTTTTTCAACTTGCACATTTATTTAGTTCTTCTTGAACCATATTTTGGTACAATCCAACAATAAAATTTGTTAGTTCTTTCTTCAGTGTTAGGTACTGAAACTGAAAAATTATTTCCTTCTTATTTTTTGGTATTTTTACAATTAAAACATTCTTTTTTACTCGTGATTACTTATTGATATTAATATAGTAAGTTTTAAGCAAAAAAAAAAGGCAAAACAAACTCATAAAGAATTAGTATATTGTGTTAGAAATCTCATTAATAAAGCTAAATAGATGGTAAGTTTGTTTGTATTAAAATTTTTTGTCCAGATATTTTTGCCTTTTATTTTGTAATGGTACATTCTTATTATTATCTTGCTTTCTTTTCTTAATACTTATTATTTTTCGTTCTTCTTGGTAAATTTCATAAGTAATTTTTTCTTTATCTAGATATTCCTGGAGAGTTTGGGTATCATTGATTTTAAAAACATAGGGAGCAATTTTTTCTCCTTGAGCTTTTTTTAGAATGCTTCTAATAGTGCTATAATTCTTGGGTTCCATGGTAAATTAATTTTATATTTATATTTTTATATAGAAATATTCCTATCTTATTCCTGTTATGGTTTATATTCCTCGCATTCTGGTATTATTATTATAAAGAGAACATTAATATTAAATTTAACAAAAGTCCAAAAGCATTCATTATTACTTTTCTGTCCCTGGTCAATTTTACAGCCACATCATTATCTACATCAGCCTCATGTAATCAAATGTTCATTTTGTCTGGTTTTGTTGCAGTCTGCCCCATGTATGACATCCCAATGTCGAGTATTAGATGTGACGAAAATTAGATAAGCACAGGGCCGAACTGGAAAAAAGAATTGTAACGTTCATCTGAGCTGGTTGCCGGTCACAATCTCTATCACTTTTATTAAGAGAACCATAGTAAGAAACCTAATGCAATTATTCTGTGAATTAAATGAGAGCATAATGACAAAGGATTAACGCTAGCATGTTTGAATGACTTGGTTATACTACAAACCATCTCCCAAAGAACCGTTAAATAATTTACAAGAAAAATTCCCTAAACAGGGTTGCCCTTTATTTGCCCGACGAAAAATTTCTATTTTCTTCTCATGCTTATCATAACGTTTGCTTTTGGAATTGAGAACTAGATCGTTTACAGATATTGTTGTGAAACTCTTTTCAGGTGGTATATAATTATATTGGGTAAACACATTATTGATGATAAAAATCTAAAATTTTCATGTTGCATGTCCCAAATTTTAATGCAATGCATGTTGCAACCAAATCTAGAACATGGTCACGACAAAGCAATTTAGGCAAAACAGTGTTACTTTAATAAAAAAATGCCCATAATAATAAGCATGTCCATGAGTAAATGCTGATTGTGCTCATACAAAATATTAGACAACTGCCTCAATGGCCAATGTAGTTTTTCTAATCTCCGATAAAAATTTGCTGAATTACGCGAGACGTTCGGGTATTTCTCTTAGATATATGCTAACCGAAAGTAATGGATAAAGGAAACCATGCTAATAAGATAACGGTTCAGTGTCTTCATCTTGATAAATCAAGAAAATTTGACCGCGCGTTCTTCGGCAGCAAATAATGCTTATACTGTAATGTGTGGATTTCCGCAAGTTTTTGGCATGAAACATTAATTTTGTGATAATTTTTGATAAGAGCGTTATAAAAATCTCCGATTCTTCATTTTTGAAATTAATAAGCAGCTGCATGTGAGTGATCACTTTGTCGTCTTGTATCAGCCATATGACTAATATCCAGCCACACCAGCCATCATATGTAAAACTTGTTCACGTTGGTTTTCCCGTTGCAGCATGTTCTCCATTTGATACGTATCAAGTGGTAATGATACATTATGTCAGCAAATCAATTCATCTGACTGAAACAATCAGACCTACAAGCCTATCTTGCTATTTTAGTCAGTTCGCCATAAAGGATCGTTTTTGTACGTTGTCGGAACATCGTACATATTTGGCAATCACTGTTTGGCTTGAGCCACTAAAAAGGTGGCATAATAGCGTTAATATAAAAAAGTCAACTGAGTTTAAATGAATAATGATAATAATATAGACACGATTGAGAGCAAATCCTTTCCTTTGCTCGGGTGTTTGCTTTGTAGCATTGGCTGGTTTTGGAATGATGGGGGGTGAGTTTGAGGGGGAATGAGGACAGTGAGTATGCTATTCGTTTTTAGCTATAGTCATGTGAGTGTGGCTAATACTAATACTAATGATCATTAATGTATGACAGCCTTACGCAAACAGAGCAGACAAGGAAGCACATATTTAGGCATACAAACTAATTGTCATGTACATCATCGGTCTTGTTTGAGACTTGTGGCGAATGTCTGGGCTCGGTTTCGGCGCTAACTCAATAACCCTACCTGCCTACTTGGCAGGAACAGTGAATGGCATATACGCATATACGCATATACGCATATAAACGCATATTTTCTTTTTCATTGATCGGGGATAACGAATACCTGAAAGAGAAGCCAGTCATGAAACAGTGAAACTATGAGACGATGATTAACAAATTGGTCAAAAGTCCCAAGCGGATCAACAGTGAAAAATTCTATTCAAGATTTTATTGTTCTGTCATATGTCATTTTCTATTATGTGGTCTGGACCGTATGCTGTTTTTTACTGTACTCCGAACAAGCTTTGTATTTAATTGTCACTCTTCCCCGAAACCATTTTCCACCCTAATATGGAAGTAATACATCACGTATGATACAATTAGGCAATGTATCGACCGAAAAACTGCGTTGGTGCTAGTCAAATAAAAAAGAATACACCTCGATGACTAAACCCCCCAACAAATCTTTCCTTCTTTTTGGTTGCGAGAGAGGGGGTCAAAAATAAATATATAGTGGAAGAAATTGCGGCGCGATTTCTTTTACTATCGATCGTTTTTATTTTGTATCTATATAATTTTAACGACAAACTATAAAGTAAATAATGTCCGGGCGTATAATAGTGGCCACAATAGGCGTTGCGTTTTCGGTACGTATTCAAAAGAGCGCGAGAGAGGAAGAGAGAGAGAGAGTATGTGTGTGTGTATGTATGTATGTGTATGTGTGCATGTATGGTGTGTATGGTGCGTATGGTGCGTATCGTACGCATGGTGCGCATGGTACGCATGGTGTGACTACCCGTACGGTATATACACGTCTTGTTTGTTACATTACCAGCCTGTCTGACCAAATGTCTCTCCCTCTTTACCTTCTACTTACTACAGCTGTATTGTATATTCGTTGCGGTAGTGACTTTCCTAGGGAAAAATGGTAACGTATACAACTTACACACCTTGTTTGCTATTGTTAACAACCCCCATTGGTTTCTGACAACCGTTTCTTTACTCTTTCTCACTCTCTAGTCGCGACCCTTCACTTAAATTCATCATACTATAAGCTCGCATTTGCTGCACTATATGCTGTTCTTTCACCATTTGGCTTATCAGGAATACTAGGAGCATTACACGTAAGAAACTGACTTTATAAATAGGCTATCTACACCCACTCTTGTCACTGGTTATTTCACAAGCTCATTTATATCCCTCCCTTTGTCCTTTTTCATTTTTCCGATTAGCGAAAGAAATCTTTAATAAGAGGCTTTCTATGGCAGTATTGGGTGGGCACTTTATTAATATGTGGTGCCAATGCCATAAGCGTCATATATTCTCACGCAAAGCAAAAAGCCATATTTCGAGACTGTGAGGGCGACAATTTTTTTGATCCTAATGTAGCAATCGACTGTGTTGCATTTGTACGCAGTGCCCAAAAGAACGCATTCATCGCCGCGATAGCTCAAGGATCAGCGATGGTATTAATAGGATTAGTGTTATTAATAGTTGGAGGACGGGAGTTTCATGATATCAAAATTGACGAAGAGACAAATAATCTGTTGGACAAGGGTCTGTTTGAAAACAAAGATAAATCAGAACCGTTCGGTCGAATCGTTTCACCTGTTGTCAATCCACCCGATACGGCATATACCCCCACCGTTCCTTTCAGAACACCGGCTAACAACAATGGTTCACCGTACGGTGCTTACGGACTCGATCGTAAACAAAGTTTGGCCAGTACGGCCTATGGTCTCGAGCACAAACCAAGCTTAGCCAGCTCTACCTCATCGTATGGACCTAGTCCGTATGTAAGACGACCGATGAACGGTAGAGACATGTATTTAACGGCTAATCAGATGAATGGAGCACAGGCAGCACCGCCGAGATCGCAAGGACTGTACAGGCAACCAACAACCAGTAGCACATATTCAGATCGTACACTACATTCGCCAGTACCTGATATATCAACATATGAAAGAATGCAAGCAGCTACAACAGCAGCAGTAACAACAACAACAGCAACAGCAACAACAACTGCTGCTGCAGTACAGGCAACGCGTCCTCAGTATATCAACCCACCGGAAAGATCTTATGCGAATGATAACTCGTCATTACCCTATCTGAAATACGGGCCGGGACAACCGCCTGCTGATGATTATGATAATTACTGGCAGCAAACAGGATCAAAGACATTGGCTAGTAATGTTAATAGAATGAACATGTATTAAGATCAAAATATTTTATTTGTTGTAAGACAATGATACTACAATGATACTACTTTGTACAAAAAACCCCGCACTTTCACAGATTTTTACATCGAAATTCATCGAAATCACCCCTCTCCCCCTCCTTCCTCTTGCTACGTGCCCGGACTTTGTTCTTTTTTTTTTCCTCTCCTTTATTCATCCGTGATGTAATATCGCCAATCATTGAAATTACAAAAAAAAAGAAGAAGAAAAGAACGCATAATTTATTAAACAAGGTAGTAATTAATTGACACACACACGTGGTTAGTGGGGGTGGCGAGTGGTGGAGAAGAAAAGTGGACAAGAGATGGTAATGCTATGATGATTGCTGTGATTAAACGCCTTTTCTCATTTGCGCACTGACGGCAGATTGCAAATTCCATATTAATACATAGCGCAAATTAAACACTACATTAATTCACAAGACAATTAATTTTTCGCTTGATTTAGGCCCATTAATAAAACATTTCATTTAATTTACTAATCAAGAATAAGGTTCCACTCGATCATCACCCATCACACCCCGAAACTATGAAACATTTCAATTTGTCATGTTTCAACACCCTGGCATTTTTAATGCACAAGTTGAGCTGTCACACATCATAATCTCCTTACATTACGCATAGTCACCAAATACAGGCATAATCGTCATTTTGTTAAATATATTAATGCAAGCCTTTTTCTCAGACGTCATTTCGCGATAAAAAACCCTTTTCCCTCCCAAACTCGAGGAATTTCAGTCACTTACGAACGAAGAATCGCTGGACGATTTAGCCATTTTCTTTTCCTCCTCCTTCCTTCCTCCCTTTTCCTCTCCGTCCCAAAAATTAAAACCCAATACGCAAATACACTAATACTAAATCTTCCCATACGCCACACCTATTTAGCCCGACAGTTACCAACCTTACAATAAACCAACCTGCCATAGAATAAATTGTTTTCTCGTATTTTCAAAACCATGACATCCCAACAGACCGACAACACTGAAACCGCCGTATCCATTCCGGAACCAGCAGCAACGACGCAGAATAGAAACAGTAATGCGAGCCGGCTTGGAAATGCACCGCCATACACTGCCAAATACGACGTGTACCTTGACGACGAGGCTCCGGCTTATACTATCATTGACACTAGCGCTCAGAGACGAGCTGTTAAGAATGACAAGAGAGTATGTGGAGGTTGCATTCCCGAACGTAACGCCGTGGTTGCTGTATTCGCTCTATATTTCTTCTTGGGCGTAGTATACACCGCCATAGCTCTTGCTGGTCTGGTGTTTAACGGATCAGCATATGATAAGACAATGTCTTTTCTCGACTTTGTCTTGTCTGTTATGATGACTGCTGCTGGCATATGTGGAATGAGATTTGTCTATGCTGTGAGTATTTACGTATGAAATATTTCCGAATGATGGGTTATTTGCCTTGCTGCTCTCTGTCCGGGTACTAATGCTCTAATTGATTTTTAAAGGAGAATGCCAATCGAATGCGCAAATTGGCCTGTGTTTTATGGTTCATCACTCTCGCTAGATTGACGTACAGCTCGATTGATTTCGCTTATGAGGTCATACATAAGCAGGACAGCATCAACAACTGCAATGATGCCGTGCGAGAGTACGCTGAGGAGAACGGAGAATATTTAGATGCAGACTGTGATGCGGCAGTCAGAGACCAGCTGATCCGTGATGGATTGAATCTATTCTTGTTTGAAACATTACAAGTGTACTTTGCATTTATCGTATTTAGGTACGCTAAGCGAATGGGTAAAACGGCAAAGAGTCCTCTTCCGCTGAGCGATGGTGGACACGTCAACAATCTACCGCCAACATACGCCGTATATGCTGCACGTGTTCCAACTTCGAGTGACTGGATTCCACCACCGGTATATACCGGAAATCCCAACAACATTCCTTTAGCAGAAAAAGAGGATCAGACGGAAACAAGGACGGAAACGAGGACGGAAGCAGGAGTGGAAACAAGAACAGAAACAAGGACAGAAGCGAAGGAAGGAGAAGAAGAAGAAGAAGAAGAGAACGAGAATAAATAGTGTTTTATTATACTTTATTATTTTTTGTTTGATTTGTTTTGATCTGAATTTGTATCATTTTGTATAATTTGTATCAAGTAGATACGTGGTAATAAAGAGAAGCTTTATACTTCCGAGTCGATAGAAGTCGAGATTGGTTCTTGCTGCTGTTCTTGTCGTTGTTGTTTAGCAAGTTTTTGCGATTCGTTTTTCGTTCTTTTTACCAGATTGAAATATTTTGCTGGAGTCATCGGGTATTTCAACATTGGTGTTTTCGTTGATACATATGGACGAAGCTGGCGAAAATGTGTTGTCAGTGACTGTATGAGATATCATGTGACTGCATAGAGACAATATGATCCGCTGAAAGGGCTGGTGTGCGCAGATAAACCATTATGTTAAATTAGCCACTGTGTCTACTCACTTGGAACTCGTCCAATCCACGTGGCACTACATAAGTTCGCACTCTGCTTCTGTCAATTACGTAACCTCCTACCAGTCGTTCAAAAGCATTGTCGTAAGAAATTGCTTTTTGCGAACATGACAGCTCCACCAAACATACCGTACTTTGTGTGTCTTCCCATTGCACCCGTCCCGGTGCCTATTTTCAAAAATTATTAATTGTCTTTAATTTTTTACAGACGCATTGTTAGACAGTTTCTTTATTGTTCATGCCTTTGTAATAATTGTGTCCTCGCTTGGAATTCATTGGATATCTCCTAGCTCCACGATAAAGTGCCTTTATTACATCAAACATGGTTTTTGGTTTTTGGTTTTTGGTTTTTTTTCTTTGTGATAGACGCTTTGTGTGTGAAAGTATTTGTTCCAAGCCACTTGGATCAACATTTTCGGAAATGAAAGTCACGGAATTTAGACACAAACTCGGGAACAGAAAGTGCCACAGTTTATTGATCGGTGAAAGGGTGAATAGTATTAATTCATTAGAGTGGGGCCACCAGGGTAACAGACGAATTAACGTAACCACGAGATTATTAGTCATGCGATAAACATTGTCCTTCGTCTGAAATACCAATAGACTTGGGCAAGCATAAACATCTGATCGGTTTTAATAACACCACTCTGTCAATATTAACGCTTTGTTTCGTTTTTTCTTAACCTATTAAACAAACGAATATAATCTAACCCTATAAAGTATGTAATTTCCAAACTGGTGTGATAAAATATACGAATATATCGGGTATATTAATATGCGCCAAGAACTCCAACACCCGAATGACAATGTCATATGATACCAATTTTGGTATCAGTCGCCATTCAGAGTTTAACATTTACGCACAGATTATTTATTAAGAAATTAACATCTCTTACGGTTAGAGAAGCGAACTGACGAGTCGAGACACTTGATTAACGACATCTTTGGTAATTTTAAATACCGCGATCAATTAGGTTTGTTTGTTTAATTAATTGCATTAAATTACGGATACCACCTTAAATTTAAAACACACCGTGGAACAATTAGATAACTTTAACATGATGAGACGCAAGTTTTTTGTTTTGACGTTGTGTTACAACAGTTCTAATTACTATTTACATCATTTGCGTAATATCTGCTTTATTATCGCACGCTGCGGTGTTATGTACCCGAACCAAATTAACTCGTGTAATAGAAATGCTAATTTGACGTTTTCTTGACGGAACCATTCTAAAGTTAACTCAATTATTGATTGTCGCACGTGCAGTACAAATGATTGAAGAGAGAACAAAAAGTTTACACTAATACAGTTAAT